TCATATCCTGGAAACATGTCAAATGAATGGTGCCAAGGAGGCAGCCACTCCAATGTGCTCCAAGGCATCCCTCTTCCTCACGGATGGCACCTCTCCTGCGGATGCAACCCAATATCGACGCACACTAGGTCTACTACAATATTTGTCCTTCACCCGGCCTGATATTTCCTTTGCCGTAAATCGTCTCTCTCAATTTATGCATGCACCAACTGAGACTCATTGGCAAGGAGTAAAACGCATACTTCGGTACCTCAAGGGTACGCTAGATCATGGGCTATTTCTTAATCGGTCATCACCCTTAACACTCTCCGTCTTCTCATTCGGATTGGGGGGGAGTTTCGGATGGGGGGCGCTCGACAACAGCCTACGTCCTCTATTTGGGAGGTAATATCATCTCTTGGAAGTCTGCCAAACAGAAAACGGTATCTCGGTCATCCACCGAAGCCGAATATAAGGCTGTTGCAAATGCAAGTGCAGAAATGTTATGGGTCCGCAATCTGCTCACTGAGTTGGGCATTTCATTAACTTCCACACCACAACTTTTTTGTGATAATCAGGGAGCTACTTATGTGTGCATCAATCCTGTATTCCACTCTCGGATGAAACACCTTGCTTTGGATTTCTTTTTTGTTCGTGAACTAGTTGAGCGTGGACAACTTGCGGTCAAACATATTTCTACAAAACATCAAATTGCTGACATTCTCACAAAACCGCTCAGTAAAACACCTTTTCAACTCTTTCGGTCCAAGCTAGGAGTATCCAACGGATCCTCTATCTTGCGGGGGCGTATTGAATCATAATATTATTATTATATATTTATCCCTTGTAATTATCCCATACGGTCAACATATGTATTTGTAATTTGTAATTATCCCATACGTATGATTAGCTCTATCCCTTAGCTAGTGGCAGTTAGTTAGCAGCTCTTATCAAGGCTATTGTAAGCCTATATAATCCATGTACGTACGTCGAGTATATACAATCAATACAATACTTTTCATATACTTCTTCATGAAGTTGTATTATGGATGGTAAAAAAGTGCACATGTGCGTTTACATCATCCAAAACATTACTTCAAATGTGAAGGTGTATTATGAATGAGTAAAAGCGCATCCATACACATTTTGTGCGTGAAATGATCTTTTTATGTAAACTTCACGTTATGTATATAATTTTCATTATTTTTATTGGGTGCAATAGTTAAGTTGGACTTGTTTGAGAGTTGAGTCCAAGGGAAAAAGTTGATGAGCTATAGCCTATAGTCGATTTTGAGACACTTGTTTTCACCTAATAGATCAAAGAAGTGCTTAGCATTATTCTCATCATTTTCATTTACCTCAGTGCTGCAAAGGCTCCCACCAACGGTGGAGTAAGGGGGGTTGGATGTACGCAGTTTTACCCATATACTAAAGTAGAGAGAGACTGTTTCCGGATGACCTATAGTGAAAATCGCGTCCAAAATTGCATGGACTGACTCCGGGCCGGCTATGGGCGGCAGGCACATAGGCACATGCCTAGGGCCTCATAATTATCTAGGGCAGCAAATGGAAATAGAAAAAATAGAAGTCAGATAACACGTGTGCTAACAGTGAGTCGATGAATGTCTTGTAAAAATTACTCCAACGTAATTTAAAACTTTACAACTCCATAATAATAATTTCAAAATTTAAAACTACGACCGGGTCAATTCATGACATTTCACCAGGAGCCTCGTATACAAAGCTAAAGTGTTTTAAATTATGGATATGAAAGTTAATTTCTTTTCACAATAAGTACTTATTTAACAAGATGGGCTATTTTATATTCAATTTAATTTCAAGTTGATCGAGAAATTGAAATAATAAAATTTAATTTTGTGCCTTAAAATATACTCTGTACGTAATTGTTTATTCTCTATTAATTTTGTGTTACTAATATATTCTTAAATTTATTCATCATAAATTATGTTCCTAATATTATGCATTACTGGATATACTAAATAGCTTGTTTTATAATCACCTATAATATGTGCTGAAATGTTTCTATTTAATATACCCCCTGTTCTCTAATAGATGTCTCTATAGGGTTTGGCACAAGTTTTAAGAGGAAAATAAAATGGGTAATGTAAAAGGCCGGTGTAGTGAGTTGTGTTTAAATGAAAAAGTAGGAAAGAGAATGAAAAAGTATGAAAGAGAATGAGGGTATATAGGTATATTTATTGATAAAACTTTCTAAAAATGGAAAGGGAGACAACTATTAAAGAACATCCCAAAATGGAAAGAGAGACAAGTATTAGAGAACGGAGGGAGTAGTGTTTACTACGGCAACATAACCCAAAGAAAAACCCAAGGGCTTTTAAAGATAAAATTTAAGAAACAAAGAGATCAAGTTATACAAACATGTCTAAGTCTGTCCTAGAAACATAGACATGATTCAAACTTTTGTTATAATGTTTTCAATTACTTATCTATAATTTAAGTATTTGATTTTATTTGGAAATAATCACATATTTATGTCTAAAGTAAAAATTGTTTATAAAAATACGATTAATGACGATAATATTATTTTAATCAAAGTAACTCAAGTTCAATTTTTACACTTAAGTGACCATGACATCATATTTTAGTAACTATAAGTCATATTTGTGTAAAAACAAACTTTATTTTAGGGATATTTTGAAAAAAAAACTTGTATTTTTCTTCTACTTTTTAATTAATTATTCTATATATGATTTATTTTGTGTGAAGCTAACATCACTCATTTAGTCATTTGTATCATGGTCTAATTCTAATTTTTGCCTAGGGCATCAAATTCTCCAAAGACGGCCCTGGACTGACTGCTGCTTCATAAGAAAGAAGCCCAAACAGTTTAGTGAGCTACCGTCACCGCCTGTCACAATAGCTTCCGTAGTTAAAGACAAATAATGACAGGATACTAATCCTGTCATTATTGAGTATGCAATGAGAGTGTATTTACCATCATTAAAATTGAGATCTTATGACAGAAATTCCCGTCATCTTTATCTTTATATATATATAAAGAGAATATGGTGGAGATCCAAATAGAAATCTATTTGGAGCCAAAAGAAGTGAAAAATTGTTGTCACAATTAATTAAACATTATTTAATATGTCAATAGTTAATAACAATCAATGATTAAGTAGAAACCTCATTAATTGTTGTAAGTTACAAATACAAATTAGAAAAGTAAGCATATAGACATTACATATAAATAAAATTATTAGAAAAATATTAGAAACATTTACATACATAATTAGTTAATACACATTTACATACATAATAAATTTTAAAACGAAATGTTCTAACTTTAGAATATAAAAAAAGTACTTCGTATTAAATTATATTCATGAATGATGAATTCAGATACAAATGTTATTAAAAAGGCCAGGAAAATGATACTACCTCCGTCCCCTAAGTTTGGGACAAAGGGGTGTGGTGTGGTTTTTAAGAAAACGTAGAATTGTGTGGTTGATATTGAATTGATAAAGTGTGAATAAATTAATAATGAATTCTAACCACTCAAACATTACCTAATATGGTATGGGACAAACTTAATGGGATGGACGAAAAAGGTAAAACGGGACAAACATAGGGGACGGAGGGAGTAGTAATTAGTACCCCCATAAAATGTGAATGAAATTGATTTGCATGTGAAATACAACAACAACAACAACATCCAAGCCTTAGTCCCAAAAGATATTGGGGTCGGCTAACATAAATAGATACATGAGATCACCGCCAAAAGGAAAAGAAAGAAAATAATTTAAAGATAAAAAGATAAGCTATTATAAAAAAGATAATGTACAAAGAGATGAATATACCTAAAAACGATAAAATAAAAAGGATAAAAGTAGTCTATATATATAAGGATAAAAAGATAAAAAAAAAAACAAGCAAAAAATGAGGGGAAAAGATGATTTGCATGTGAAATATAAAGAAAATTATATGATGGAGATTTGTGCAGATCGTAGAAGGAAAAAATAATTTACCCACAAACTTAATACTTTAAATAGAAATAACCAAAGTTGCATAAATAAAGTTATCAAAGTTTAACGAGACGAGAGAGGAATTGTTATTGGTAATCAGTTGCAAAATAAAATAAAAATGCATTCATTTAATTCTATTACATCTATCCATAAAAAAAGACGATTTAAATAAATTTATCCATTAGTAAATAAGTAACTATATTAAAAAGAATTCAATCCTTACTAGCTAGATGCAGACAATTGAATAAGGAGAATATGATTGTACTTTATCAAATTTAACAAGAATTTGAACTTAACTGAACTAGAAATTAATTATAAGGAAATAAATAGCCCTTTCACAACAATACATTGAAAAAACATAAAAGGGTCAATACATTGATAACTCACTAATAAGTAAACATAGCATGTCGATCTACAATTCATATGATTGGTCTATATCGTTATAAAAATTTCTATACTATGATACCCACTAATAATTTATGTGGCTGATATTGAATTGATAAAATGAGAGTAAAGTAGGAATGATTTAGAATCATACCAACGTTACCAAATTTGGTATAAAACAATCTTAATGAGACAAACTAAAAAGGAAAAATGAGACAAATTTAGTGGGACGGATGAAGTAGTATCATACATGGACTAATTTATTTTTATATCATATTTTTATACAATAACTATGTATATACACATTTCTCATGAATTATTTTAAAATAAATTATTTCATCTTTTATCCGTGCAACGCACGGGTGGATTGACTAGTTAATACAAATAGTAACTACTAAATTTGTATGCAATCTATGACTGAAAATACCGTCATTAATAGACCATTTAATGACAAAAAATACTGTCATTATTATTAAACTCACTTGTCATTAATAATAACTTTTAGTGAGAGAAAATTATCGTCTCACTATACAAACATATATATACATACATACATACATATATATATATATATATATATATATATATATATATATATATATATCCAGACTAAAATCACACACATAATAAATATATAATAGTATTCATATGTTCGGCTCAAGGAGATTGAATGATAATTGTATATTTTCATTCAAGCACAAAAGTAATATTCATATGATCATCAATAACAAGTCTGTACTGGATGACCAATTCTGAAAATGCATACATGAGAAACTCACTCTAAAAAGCAAAATAACACTACAAAATACTACTGATCATTGTTATAAACCTAATAATTAAGTTTGCTTCTCATGCAGCCTCAAAACTTGAAATATGCAGTTTGGTACCTGTTACAAATGAACAAAAAAACACTTAGTTTTAAAGAGAAGCATATGCATGATAATCATTAACCATGTGATCTAGAATACATTAGTGTCACACAATTCTATTGTAAGTTTGAGTTAAACCAAAATCTCAGGATTTACCCGAAACCATCAACATGTCAATCAACATATCCCTTCAGAGATGCTTCACCAAATTAAAATGTTGATTGTTTACAACACTAAATGTTAAGAGCCAACCTCAATCAACAATATTTATTGACATTTATAAAGCAAAAAGTGACTGCTTTGCTAAATGTGCTAAACAGCATTTAGGCAAGCACTCAAAACTATTCTGCTTATGTAAAAGTACTAACATGGCTATATCAATTTGGAGATGCTTTAGCAAATATGTTTACTGTACGCATTTATGTACTGTATTTTGAGAGCTAAGCTTTGTCAACTATATTTACTGACATTTTTAAAGCAAAAAATGAATGTTTTTTTTACTAAATTGCTAACAGCCTCATACACATCAGAGGAACATGTTAATAACCGAGAATGAAAAACATACCACTGCTTGAACTCGTGATCTCTTGCTAACCCTAAACTCTTGCATTCTAGGAATCCTAAAAAGTTTTAAATGCAGTTATTAATAACAAGAATTTCTGAGGTATGTTAATTGCTTATATAATCATACCAAAAGGAACAAAAAATGATATATATGTACCTTAGGAGTGTCACTACTAGGAGTTGAAGGTTGCTCTCCTAATGATGATTCACTCATCTCTATTTGATTTAACCTGTTCTCAATTTTATCCACACGTATCTTGAGGTCCCGGTTTTCTTCATCCTTCTTACGTAGTTTGGCCTCTAGATCTGTGATGTATGCCGTTTTGTGATCCTTGAAGTGTTTTCGCTTCACTCCACCTCCATAACCATAAACGCAACCATGTCGTTGTGGTCCAAAATGTTTTTCAGCAATCTCAAGATTTGAAAGGGATGGATTGGACTTGACAGTCTTCACAATTTCATCCTATAAATATGTACAAGGTCATCAAGAAAATAATAATAAGTTGAAATTATTGAAGTCTGTCATATAGTGATACTTACATATTTTTCTTTTTCTTTTGTCCCGTGTAATTTTTCATTTTTTCTCCGCGTCAAAAAAAGATCACACCCAGGTCTGGGTCCTGTGAATCTTTACCACCCTATAAGTTACAAGTAAAAATTATCAACAATAATTATTTCAGAAAATACACATTATTGAAATAATAAACACAATTCAAGTAGCACTGTTAGAACTTCAATTACATTTTCAAATATGATTTCTCTGTGTGGCATACTTCCTGTGCGATGAGGCATTCCCATATCTGATGCGGATTTATTCTTCGAGTTCTGCTCACTAATTTTCTACATACATTAAAGTATAATAAACTATTTAGGTGAGAGCTTAAACTATTTTTAATATTTAAAACCACTAATATCATACCAGAAACTCTTCAGTCATAAATTTCTTATGAACAAGCCACTTCCAGTCCTCACCAAGTACACCTTTCGGAACATTGTTTGTGGCTTCACTGATATTTTTGCAAGGTTTTACAAAATTTACATTCAAAGATGACCTCCAAGCTGTCCACAATGAATGCATGTGCTCCAACGTTTCATCACGATATAAATCAATGTTAGGATTGTGAAAGCATTCCTATAAAATTTTAAAACACAACCATTTGTAAATCAACTTGCAGCAGTTATAAGCAACAATTTCAGAATCATCTTACCATTTCTATACAAGTTAGGATTGTGAACACATGCACTTATCAGATTCAACCATAAAGAACCATAATTATAATTTAAATTCTATACAAAAGCACACAACAAAATCAGGATGCAACTCAAGTTCCCCTTTTTGGAATTTATAAATTTGCCAAGAAAATCAAGAACATCAAAAAAATCAAATTTAAACTTAAACTCTCCAAGATGATCATGTCTAGGGATTGAAAAAACGCTTTAAGATATGATCATGTTTCAACTGTCACAGTATGCAGAGATAGAACAAGTTGACATTTATCATCAACCCTACAGACACAATTCTCTTGAAAGGAAATAAAATGTAAACCCCATCAAGCTGGTTAAACCAAGAATTGCAGCAATTACAGGTCATGGTGAACAATGCTCATCTCATATATGAGTGTCCATTAAAGCACCACCAAGCTGGTTAAACCAAGAATTGCAGCAATCACAGGACATGGTGAACAATGCTCATCTCATATATGACTGTCCATTAAAGCACCACTAACAAGTCACTTGCAGCTGGTTCAGTATCAGAATAATCGCAAAGAGAGACCCACACACCATGCAACAAAATTTACTGGGCATTTCATTTCTTAAAATGCTAACGTATCAGTAAAACAAAGTACCTTGACCGCCTCCCACATGTGTTCCTTTTCTGTGTGTCCGATGTCCTTCCACACAAGCACTTGTACAGGACATATATTGCGATCACGGACAATTCTCCCTAAGTGCCGTGACCAATACTTTTGATTTCTACCCACTGCACGATCATTATAGAATATAACTTCAAGCTTTTCTCCTTGTTTCAGATCAGCAACCCTTTTGTTCTTTTTCTCTCCTCTAACTTTTCTTTCTTTTTGTATACCTGAGACTATTTTATAAAACAACTCATTATACATTCTGTCTACATATATTCATATAACATAAAAGGTATTTTAGTAGTAAAATTAACTTACCTTCAACCGGTTTATCAGATATGATGAAAACAGGTTCACCAAATTTACCATCCGCACTTATAGGAGTATATTTTGCAACAACAAACTGCCCCACAGATTTTAAAGGCAAACAAAACTCCTAAAAGAGAAGCACAATCATCAAAAAGAATCTTTTAACTCAAGCAGAGCAACACAACTAATATAATGGTATTTAAATACCTCATTAGTTTGGGTTATTGATCTCTAGAAGCTCTTAATTACAACATATCAATTTAAATAATTAATATAATGCTATTTAATTACCTTAGTAGTCTTGGACTCACTGATAGCTTGAAGCTCCTCATTCACGTCAAATTTTTCAGAAAGAGTCATAAATAGTTGAACTGTACTTGAACGCTCAACTCCTCCAATTAAAGTCCCACATACTTTAACTTTTTCGTTTGCCCTCAAATCCCCAAGTATTTTGACATTTCTTACTTCCGGATTTAAGAGACAACCTAGAATTATAATCATTTGACAAATAAGGGATCCTAAATTTATGAATTAGAACTAGAAAGGCTTTTCAAAATATAAACATCTAGAGTGATATATCTTGAACCCAAAATTTCAGAAATTAACACCATCCCGAGAAAATCAATACTAATAGTCTAATATGTAAAAATAGACTGGTGGATCTAAATATACCTAATGATGTATTGTCTCCTGGCAGGTCTTCTGGCATCCTAAATCCCAAGGGCTTGGCTTTTTTATCGTTTTCCAAATAAAGATCTATGCACGGAACACCTTCATTTTTATCCAATAGAGCCATAACATCCATATCACATTTTACAGGCACACCATCTCCATCACTTACTTTGAAACCAACAGAATAGATATCAACAAACTTTTTGCATAGGTTCAAGATATCCAAGAAAGAGCTATCTTCGTTGAAATCATTTTCTTGCAACTCCATCTCTTGAAAGTGCATTACTAGAGTGTGAGATGACATATCACCTTCTAAAGTGAAATAAAGAGTTAGATATATCAACTAGTTAATAATAATATGTACCAAAAACTCATTTATACCGAATGTTGTGGCTTCAACACATCGATGAGGATGAGAAAGGGGTTGACTAGAGCTACCTGCAATACGCGAAGTGTTATAATTAGGGAATTTTTTTGCATACTCACAGAAAAACTTAACAATATCATTAACCTTACTTTTCTTTGAATAATTTGTGTTTTTCTTAACTTCTTGAACATCAAAGGATGGTTGTGTCTGTTTGTTGTTTCTCCCTAAGTTGGAAACATGATAAAAAAATAAGTTCTAGCAGGAATGTATAATATAATTTCTTAATGGAAAAATAAGCCTCCACTGAATAAGATAAAAAGGGATAAAAATAGCCTTACCAAAGTGTGGCCTGTTTCCATGCATTTGAGCTAACATACCAGGTGCTAATAATTTAGGAAGCTTCTTTTTTGTTTGTTTTTTGACCTTTTTATCCATGGCTGCTCTTGAAGAGTTAGAACCGCAAAAGTCGAAGTTCAATTTCTCATCAAATAAACTCCACAAAATTCCAAATTTCTTATTTTTAATAGCTGCAAAACTGAAACAAATACATTCATAGGTAAAGTTAATGACATGAAACACTTGTGATAAAGCAGGTTAAAGGGGGGCAGATAATGGCACTTATGCAGCTTGTAAACCAAATGAACAACCTATAATGGCACAACCACACATATTAGTGAGTAAAAAATTACTATCTGCACATACCTGCAGGAATAAAATGTGGCAAAGCAGTAAAAAGACAAAGGCATCAATACAAAAATGCTCAAGTTGCTTTTCGTTTTCTTTTCTTATTGATTATGGGAGATTCAACAACCATCGGATCCACATCACTTCTTGTCCAAGTACTTTCAGTATCTGAATGTGTAGAACTATTGATACTCTTGAAACAAAACGATTCACCATGTTGATATGTTTCATCTAAATCGTCTTCCTCATCATTCTCAACCTCTTCTTGTTGTGGCATCTTGTACAGATCACGAGGTTGCATCTTGATAACAAGATGCCAACCTTTAATCATGTTGTCAATGACATAAAACACTTGCGAAGCTTGGTTGGCTAAAATAAAAGGTTCATTTGTTTTCAGCAGACGTTGACAATTAATTGAAGTAAAGCCAAATTCATCTACTTTGATGCCCTTCACTTTATCATGCACATCAAACCACCGGCTTTGAAATAGCAGAACTCGTCTCCCACCAAGATAATGCAACTAAAGAATATCTAATAGCACTCCATAGTACTCAACATGGTCAGTACCTATATCTCCAATCACACACACACCAGAATTTTGTGTTCTACATCCGATATCACTATCCTCTATTCGAAACCTAAACCCGTTGACAACATATCCTTTAAAGCATGTCACATGCTTTAAAGGACCGCGAGATAGCGACTTTAAACTCTCGGTTTGTGTGTGTTGGGATTCCATATCAATCTCTGCAACCTACAAATTACTTTTAGTCAATCAATTATATATAATTTAAGTTTTTAATTAAATATAAAAACATCTCATGTCATGTTTACTCACCTTATTCTTAAACCAAGTGATAAAAGAACTATCCCACTCATCCCCCGACTTGTTTGTCATAGTCTCTTCTTGTTCTTGAGAGTACTCACTGCATTAATAACTAATTTTTTTAAATCTAGATATTGACAGTAAGGAAATAAAATTTAAAGTATGGGTCATTACTTGAGAAAGGGCTGAACTTCATCACAGTTTTTTAAAACATAAATGTGAGCATGTAGCCAATCATCCTCACTAAGATCACGACTAGTACCAGATCCAAGTGGTCGTCCAGTTTGTGCAAATATAGACATTTCACCATCATTAGCCTTGAAGAATCCATCATCATTTCGCTCAATTGTATTAAACTTTGTCTTGACGCCTTTAAAGTATCTTGAGCAAAGAGTCATACACTCCTTGGCAATATAACCTTCTGCTATTGAGCCTTCTGGACATGCCATGTTACGAATAAATTTCTTTAATTGATATAGCATCCTTTCAATAGAATACATCCATCTGTATTGAGGAGGTCCACAAATTTTAGCCTCGCTAGCCAAGTGCACAGGCAAATGCACCATCACATCAAAAAATGAAGGAGGGAATATTTTTTCTAACTTGCACAAAGTCAAAGCAATCGGTGATTCAACTTGCTCTAGCTCATGAACCCTTAATGTCTTTGCACATATACTTGTAAAGAACAATGACAACTCAACGAGAGGCTGATAAACGTTGCTAGGAAGGAGCCCACGTATTCCGAGAGGAATAAGATGTTGTAGAAGAACATGGCAATCATGACTTTTTAACCCTGAAATTTTGTGATCCTTCATGTTCACAGATTGAGATATATTAGAAGAAAATCCATCTGGAACTCTCAATTGCTTTAAAAATAAGCAAAACAAGTGTTTCTCTTGCTTTGACAGTGTGTAAGAAGCTGCAGGCAACTCAAGTTTATCTCCTTTACGAATGGGGTGCAACTCTGGTCTAATTTTCATAATCTCCAATTCAAGGCGTGATTGAGCATGGTCTTTGCTCTTACCATGGATATTCATAATTGTTCCAAGCACATTATCACATATATTCTTCTCAATATGCATCACGTCTAAATTGTGCCGTAATAAGAGGGTACTCCAATACGGCAGCTCAAAGAAGATACTTTTCTTGTTCCAATTATCACCTCGTTTCTTGTGTGAAATTTTCACCTTTTTGCTACTGTCTTTCGTGAGAGGTATTCCCTCAAGGTCATTCACCTGTAAGAGTACCTCAGCTCCTGAAAGTGACATTGGTTGTGATCTTATCTCTTTTGTCCCATCAAATGAACTTTTATCATTCCTCCATTTGTGGTTTTTCGGAAGATAACACCGATGACCCATATAGCATTGCTTCTTGCAATTAGTTAATCGCATAGAACAAGTGTTTTTATTGCAACATGGGCATGCCATTTTACCTTTTGTGCTCCAGCCAGATAGGTTTCCGTATGCAGGAAAGTCATTAATAGTTCACAATAATGATGCATGTAACTTGAAGTTCTGATGGCTTGATGCATCAAAAGTGTCTACACCTACTTCCCACAACCCCTTCAATTCTTCTATTAAGGGTCTAAGATAGACATCGATTGCATCTCCTGGGCCATCAGGACCAGGTATGAGCATGGAAAGAATAAAATTTGATTCTTTCATACACATCCAAGGAGGCAGATTGTAAGGAATGAGTATTACTGGCCAAATGGTATATGATGTTTTTGAATGACTAAATGGTTGGAAACCATCACTTGCCAAACCAAGTCTTACATTACGAGAATCTGATGAAATTTTTTTATGCATTTCATCAAAGGATTTCCATGCCATAGAATCCGCTGGATGTCTCATCACTCCATCATTGACTCTAGATTCATGATGCCATCTCATATATGACGCTGTCTTCCTGCACATGAACAACCTCTTAAGCCTTGGTGCTAAAGGAAAGTAACGCATTGTCTTCATAGGAAATTTCCTTCCATTCTTTCGAATTTTAACTTCCCCAACACGATGGTCCTCTTTCCATCTTGAAGCACCACAAATTTGGCATGAGTCAGACGATTTTTTATCCTTCCAATATAACATACAGTTATTTGGGCAAGCATCAATTTTTTCATAAGAGAGCCCCAGATCCTTAATGACCTTTTTTGCATAATAATATGTTTCTGGTAATGTTGAACCTTTTGGGAGTATATCTTTCAATGTGTTTAACAACATGTCAAAAGATTCATTGCTCCACCGACCAATGCTCTTGATGTATAACAAGTTGATAACGACGGACAGCTTGGAAGTTTCACACCCAGGATAAATTGGTTGTTCGAAGTCCTTCAAAAGCCTATAGAATGCTTCTGCTTCCTCATTCGGTTCTTCAAGGCCACTCTGTCCCAGAGAATTTTTCTTTGGGTGATCCTTGTCCAAACCAGCATAATGATTAGGATAGATATCTTCTATGATTTCTCGAATCTCCTCACCGTCTTCACTTTCTTCCAGTTCTACTTCATCACATACTGGCTCACCCCTCCTTTCACCATGGTGATACCAGAAAGTGTAGTTCGGCAAAATCCCATACACATTAAGATGCATTTCAACTAATTCTCGAGTTTTGTAGCCAGTATTCTTACACTTCACACAAGGACATCGTATTAAGTTTTCTTTGCCTGTCTTTAGGAATGCATAATTCAGAAATGCCTTAATACCATCTTGATATTCTTTATTCAGCCGATCACTAAACAAGCTCATCCATTTCTTGTTGGGGGCCATTGAAAGAAGATAATGAAATATCTATAGTAAAAAAATATAAACATAAATTTCTATTATTAAGCTAAAAATGTAGTTGTTTCCAACAAAATAAATTTGTAAAGAATAGTACAACTAGTTATTTAATACTACATAACATTAATACTAGCTCCATAACATAATAAGTTTAAGATAGAAACTAGCTCCGTAACATCACGAATTTAATACTACATAGTTGCTAAACTGAAGCAACTATAAATTTAGCGGAAAAACAAAACAAAACAAAAATATTCTTAATAGTTGTTACACATAATAAACACAATGATTTCTGCATAAAAGAAATCACATCTAGTTGATTGCCTATTATGTTTTCAGAATGTGTTACTATAAACAAGCTTTTCACATAATTTTGTACTACTGCTACAACTTTTCATTTCATATTTGGTATTTCTTTGACACAAATGATTATTTAAGCCATTACAGTGCATATTAGTCTTTAATTATCACGAAACTCATGCCCAAATAACAGAAAATATAGATATTCTTTTTCTTCTTGGTTGTAAAGCTATATTTAATGGTATAGTACCTACATTTGGAACTTGAAAATCTTTGGGTATCAATAAAATCAGCAATTGGAATAAACATGTGTGTAACTTGTATTACATTCCGGTGTTAGGTTTTTTAGTATTTTGCTTACTAATCATTTCGTGTCCTACCTAAATGAAATTCAACTGATTCTCTTGATGCAAACAGAGTAAACATAATCCAAAATTCGAATAGTAGTACTCCGTAATTATAAACAGCATAAGTAGATTATTAGATGAGTCCAAGCGAGCAGAAGCTTTCCAAATTAGTCATGGGTAGAACTGCTATACTAGAAACCTGTGTAAATATGCTTTCAAGAGATAAAAGGAGAAACGTGAAAACATTAAAGTACCATACAAAATCTTAGTAAGACAATCAAATGACTATATCCAGGTTTTTTATCCAGGTTTTTGGAGAGTAATTTAACATGAAAAAGTTAAACTCAAAATTGATTTGAAGATGCCACAAAGTTGGAGAACAAAAAGGAAATGAAAGTGAATTTCTGGAAATAGTTCATACACCCACTCAAATCACACATGCTCCAGACTAATCAACAACTCATATAAAAATGAAATCATAAATCTGAACTTTTCAGGATTCAAGACAATTTTATACAGGTCATTTCAGTTAGCTTTAACTCCTAGAAATAGAGAACATACCACACAAAATTTTAGCTTCAGAGAATGCAAAAAACATTCCATAACAAAGATAAACTTCATACTGAAAGTGTAAATCAATTTCAATTTCAATTTTAAAATCAGAATTGGTCATTAAATTAAATTTCATACTCCTAACATTCAAAATCCAATAGACATCAGTGCACTAAATTCGGAAGCTAAATCAAACTCAGAAAATATTACTTCAAAAGAGAAGTGAAAAACGATTAAAAGAAAAGGCTTATGAACCTGGTGATTAACTGGACAGGGTGGAGACGAATTTGAGATCTGGAGAAATAGAGCCGAATTTGAGAACCGCCCAGTCCAAGAAGAGCCGGAGAATCAGCGAACCAGAGCCGGAGAAATAGAGACGAATTTGATAACTGTCCGGTCCAAGAAGAGCAGAAGAATCAGCGAACCAGAGCCTATAAATCCAAGAACGAACAGTGCTAACCCTAGTCTTAGGGCACTTCGACGATGGCGCAGATGGAGGAGGCCGTCGAATCGTCGATGGCGCAGACGCAGGAGGCCGAACACTGAGGTGACGAAGAACAAAGATGAAGACGGTGGGGTGGTCGGTTGGCTAGCGTAGAGAGAAAGTTCTAAACAAAGAAAGGGTTTTTACTTTTTAGCATAGGCGAGTTCTCTTCCTTAAGCGGGAGTTTTTTTATTTGCCGCTCTTTAGAAAATTGTGCGCGGGGTTGTCAAAATAAAAAAAGAAAGTGTGCGCGGGTTGTGCATTAGCATTAGTGACGGTCTCAAGAGTTTTCGACTCAATAATGAGAGTAACGTTTGTATAAACCCAATATTTCCTCATTATTTTAATTAGAGGTTTTTTACCCTCACAAAAGCTCTAAAATAGTATTATCAGTGAGGGGATTTTTCTCCCGTCACTAATTTTCGTCATTATTAGTTGTTTTTCTTGTAGTGTGATCTATTGCATGAGCAAAAATTCAATGTTTTGGAATATATTATATATAATCGAACCTGATTAATCCTGTTTTAATTTGCAGTTGGATATGACTCTATGTCTATTAGTCTATATGAGTACGCCTTCAATGCCAATTGAATTTTTTTCCAAAAACTTCAACACTACTAATAAATAATATGCGCATATCCAAGTTTGATTTTTTTTGTTACATTATACTACGTATTACGGAGTAAATGTCTTCCTTCTTTATGTTATTTGAGAGAATATGGAAGACACTGTATACAGGGAATATATTCTATTGTTTGAGACAAACACATAAAACAGATATGCCCAAAGCTTAATGAGGAAAAATAAGCATAAGTTGAAAATTTCTACGTTTCACATTTTTGGTGTTCCTGAAATAAATTTGGCTTATTTCAGACATAAAAAATTTGATATGGTTAAACTAGATAGTCAATCACTTGAAAGTTCAAATGTAAGTTATAAACCTTAGGCAATTCCTTTTATAGAACTGAGTCAACTAACATGCAAGATTCGGACTTTTCTTAAGTACATTAAGCGAGATAATTGTTATCACTAATCATATCGCTTCATCTCATGGTTTGGTCACTACGAATGCATAGATGTGATTCAGGAATCTTCTGTTATTTTAGGACCCACCCGTCTAGATCCGGGTGATCCCAATGACTGGTATTTTATTTTTATTTTAAAATGGACTGGCTCTTTATGTTGAGACTTGTAAGTGGACAGTGGTAAGTCTCAATTGGGGGTTGGACTTCCAACAGCTATACGATCATTAAGCTCCTATAACATCCTTTATCCTATTCATTAGTTTTCTACACTTACAAGTCTATATTGCTCAGTTGCTCTAGATCTCATCCAATTCCTTCTTCATCTATTACTCTATCAACACAAATCCTTAATTTATTATTCTTTGACGAGTTCGATTGTTCCTTTAATTTATTTCTAGTATAATTTGTTTAATCGGTTAGACTAATCTTCATTTATAATAATATATATACTACTAAGCTAGTAGTATATTATAGTAATCATTAGTGTGTAATATTGTACAACATTTGTGCTTGTATTATATCACTACAAAAAAGAATAACTGAATTTATACGATCAATGCTTTTGTGTCAACTAGCAAATAACTCATGATAAAATGTTGTTGTCATGAATTTGACATATCTATGTCAAATTTTCTATGAATTTTGGAAAATCTCTGTCAAAAATCCTGTCAATCTTGTTTTTTTGTATTATAATATTATACTTCATGTGTTACTATTATTAGAATATTTATAATTCACAATGTTACATATTTCAATTTTATAAGTAATTATATTACTCCCTCCGTCCCCGAAAGAAGTTCTCACTTTCCTTATTTGGATGTCCCTAATTTAAGTTCTCAATTCCTTAAATGGAAAGTTATCTACATCAAAACAGTGCGAAACACTGCAAAACAGTGTCAAACAGTGTCGAAACAGTGTCAAAACAGTAAAATTTACCCCCTGGTAAGTTTACTTGCATAAAAGTGTGTGAAAGTCAAATGGAAAACTTCTTTCGGGGACGGAGGTAGTATGTTATATTATATTATATTATATTATATTATATTATATTATATTATATTATATTATATTATATTATATTATATTATATTATATTATATTATATTATATTATATTATATTATATTATATTATATTATATTATATTATATTATATTATATTATATTATATTATATTATATTATATTATATTATATTATATTATATTATATTATATTATATTATATTATATTATATTATATTATATTATATTATATTATATTATATTATAATATAATATTGTAAACTTTTGAACTTTTATTTAATAAATGTCATTATTACTATTTTTTAAGTAGTTATATTATTATTATTATTATTATTATTATTATTATTATTACTTAACTTTGGGATATTAGCTGAGTAGGTAAACTTGTCATTTGATATTGTTCGTGAAATTATTGCTCTAGTATTATTGCTCTAGTATTATTGTTATTATATTTTTCATATTAATTAATACTCCGTATATTATTATTTAGACTCTGTTTTTAATATCATTATTAAATTGATATATTGTTGAAGTACTTGAGTTTTGAAATTTGGAATTGTTATATTGTTTAAGTAGTTTATACTTAAAATAGTCATTTTGCGAAATTGTTACTTGTTAGAATTCGAAACATTCAATTAGAAATTATACAAATTAAGTTTATAGTAGTTAAAGGTGTTGTTAAATCTAGTGTGACTGTATGGTCAAGAAAGTAGTTTTTGGTTCTTCTTTATTACGAATGAATATTTCAAGGTAAGGCAAGATATGACCCTAGATGTAAGAAGCCATATACATCTGATGCCCACATGCAGCATTGTCCCAAAAGTCGAATTCCAATTCACAACATTCCCAAAGAAGAATATACAAAGAGGGACAATGATATGATATCCCAACGACGACGATCAATTAATTGGGCTCTATATATACAACGTAAATCTAAGAGAAAATTAAAATCTGGTCTGTTTAATAATCATTTACCCCTGATGATGAACACAATAAAAAGGGAAATGACAGGATTAATTGATGAAGAAATTGTCCTTTTATGTGTTTTGAAAATGTTACATTAGTATATACTTCTATTATGCTCAAACTTCTCTTAATTTATAATATCATAACCTTGAAAAATGCAATAATGCATCTAAAAAATTCTTTAGTCTCTAAATGAGAGTGCTCTCTAGTCTACAATGTAGAAACATTCATCAAGTGTATTTATGCATAACTGCATAAGGGTAACTGGGTAAGTGCATTTATTTGGGCTAATCACCAATATTTTGAATCTCATTAAAATGAGCTAGAACAAATTATATCCACCTGAAACCAACGTGTACAATTCTTGACTTTTTGTGTATAATTTGAATTCTTATCGTTAAAAACACTTGTTGTGATTGTACCCTTTCACGAATATAACTTCTAGAGTCTAGGCTTCTAGCAAGTGGTGATAAGTCTCCAACTCTCCACTACGACTGTGTTCTTTTTCTCAATATATAATTCGGTTATAGAAATTGGTTGAATCGCGGCTGATTCTATTGAAATTTATGAAATTCTAGTTGGAGTAACTAAATTGACTGATTCTACTGATTTATGAAAAAAGTATATTTAAAATATTTTTATAAATAAAAATAAAGAAAAAATTTACTTCGTATAAAAAATAAGCAAAATGATCCCGTATAGTAACTTCGGCCAATACAGCCAGATAAGAAACTTCAATATTATTTTTTCTTATCATTGTACAATTTAGCGCGCTAATAAAAAAGAGTACTGAAAAAATTGGTGAAAAAGTTGACTGATAAACTCGATAAACTGATAAAAGTGTTACCATACGGCTATAAGTGAAAAGCCATTATCATTTGAGGATGATGATCTACTCGAGTCTGCTCGTTCTTCAAAGTCCAAATATAGTGGGAAATTAAATAAAGGGAAATTGTCCTAAATGGGACTAAATGAGATTTGGAATTTCAAAATAGGACTACTATATATGTTTTTCTTCTCGAAATAAAAGTTTTTACTGTCATGTATGAAAATTACTGTCATGATTGAAAAATATTATTATCATTAATTATAATAAATATTGTCATGTTAAATGCACGCTACTGCAACTATTTTACAGTTACGCCTACAAGATGACAGTAAATATTGTCATGTTAGTCCTATTTCGGGAATAAAAATATAGTAGTTCTATTTTGGAATTCCAAACTCCATTACTCCTATTTTGGGAAATCTCCCATAAATAAATGGAGTCAAACGAGAAAGAAAGGGAACTTTACTTTTATTTTTTAAGGAAATTTAGCAAACAAGTTATTTGCAATTCATTAAAGTCTCGTGTTAATAATCATTTTTTAATATTTCTAAAAATGCGGGTTGTTTCAAAGATATTACGGAGTATTAAAATAAACTAATTATTTACGCAAATTTAATATGACTAATAGTTATTGAGTTTTTGTCACTTTTAGTCCTCCGATTATTATGTCATTGGTACTAGTACCCGACTTTGAATTTGTCCACATTTAGTCCTTTGATGTGCGAAAGACACTTTTGATACTCAATATTTGAAAATTTTCATATCTAGTCTTTTAACTTTCATAAAGTGATATTTGTAGTACTTCACTTATTGTCTCGAAATCATAGAGGATGCACTAAAAGTGTCCATTTGATAATACTCAGGAGACTAACTTTGGGAAATTTTAAAGACTAAAAGTGTCTCTCGCCCAATAGTCGAGAACTAAAAATAAAAAATTTGAAAGTCGAGTAGAAAAAGTGTCACTGACACAACACCCGGGGGATCGAAAGTGGCAAAAACTTAATAGTTACTACTTCGTACAATATAGTGTCATGGTCACTTGAGTGTAAAAAATAAACACAAGTTACTATGATTGTATAGTTACTAGTCACATTTTTGTACACAATATTTATTTTAGTCATAGTTGTGTAATTATTTCTTAGTTAAACAATCCTTTTTATACACATTTCCTAGTTAGTATAAGACGAAGAAGGCTGAGGACGCGTTCCGGTTCAGCTGGTCGCGGATCACTCTCCTTTATGGGGAGGTCCTGAGTTCAATACTCAATGTGGTGGGTTTGATCCTAATTTACTTCAGGCCCCACAGATCCCCACCACCTAACCCGGGGCA